ACGATGAGGAACAGTAGCGGTAGTATATATCCTTACCTCACACCTGTGACTACCCGGATAGAGTCGGACAAGGCTCCGTTATGCAGGACTCTACATCTGTCCCATAGATTTTCGTGATTGAGTTGGTCGAAAGCTTTTTCGTAGTCAGTGAATACCAAATGTAGGGTCTTTTGTAATTCGTTGACCTGCTGCAGGATTATGCGGAGCGTGACAATATGCCGCCGGAGAGTCACGTCAATCTTCTTCTGTGTCCGATTCTGCATAACTTTGCACAGAACTTTGAGAACAATACACACTAACATGATGTCTCGTCAGTTGTCGCACACAGTCAGATTCCCCTTTTTAGGAACCGTCACTAAGACGCACTGCATCCAGTCGATAGGAAAAAGTCGCGGTGTACCAGATATTACAGCTTTGAACATCTCTGCTCATATGCGATCGACCCCGGGAGCCTTGTTGGATTTTATAATTCGGATAGCTGCTTCGATCTCCTGCAGTGATGGGGCCTCGGAGTTGACGCGAGTGATGCGCCTTAACCTTGGCAGATCATACCTAGATGTTGATGCCGAATACCGTTGACGGGCTTCATTCTTAACTCTCGCCCACTCTATCACGGCTTTTGCTTCTCTACGCTCCTCAATCTTCCGCCAGGTGCCTTCAGTGATCCACTCTTTTCACTGAGTGCGCAGCTCACCCGGATTGTTCTCACCAGAGCGTAACATTATTGTCTAAAGCCCTACAGTAAAAGTATGGACATATTGGAGGCGAACCAGCCCAAGGCTGAAAGCCTCCCTAATAAAGTTAAATTAATTAATTAAAAGTATGGACGTCTGTCAAAAGTTGTTCCAATCGAACCGTCAAAATGCACCGCTTTGCTCGATTGGAACAGCTTTTTTTCAGTTTTGTGGTGACAGTCGTCCATACTTTAACTAGAGGGCTTTATTATTGACTGCTTAGCCTGAAGGTTGCTTCATTGCTATATCCAGGATTGGGTACCGTCACAGAAGAAAAAGCGTGCTGACTGAGCTACTGACTGAGTGCTCTGCTGTCAGTGACTCGCTTACTTCCCAATCATCCAGGCTCTCACGAGGCAGTGAATGATGAGGCATGTTTTGCGCACTGGTTCTCACTTGATAAAGGCATTTTTGATGTGTCCACTGTTCTTCTACGCTGCCACCTTCCGGAACATTCGCTGCTCGGGTCTCAGGTTCTAACACGAACGATCTTTTCACATTGATCTTCTAGTCGGCGTGCGTTGAATCGTCGTCCGAGTCTCTACTTCCTCCACTGGATCCGTGCAATGCGTAGGTGGATCTCACCGATTAGAACGCGTGGTGGTCAGACGCGATGTCAGCGCTGAGATAATTGCGGACGTCAAGAAGGCTCCGTCTCCATTTTCGGCTGATGCAGATGTGGTCGATTTGATTTTCGGTATGTCCATCACAGGAAAGCATTGTCGTCACGCTCATAGTATTTTTGGAGCCGATCTTTGCATTGAATTCGCCAGTGTAGATCTTGATGTCAGCATTTGGGATTTTATCCAGGACGGCGTTCAGTTGACCGTCAAAATTATCCTTGTCCTGTAACTCGGCAGCATCGGTTGGCGTATAACTTTGGATTATGGTAAGGTTTCGATCCCGTGTTCTCATTAATAGGCTCCCACTTGATGAGCGCAGCCTGTGCCTGGGCGCTAAGTAGGAAGCCAACTGAGGCGAATAAATTTAAGCATTTCATAAGGCTCGACTTATGATCGACACATATGAATTTCATAAGTGTGACTTATGAATGATTTTTGTCTAATATAGTTAGGTCTTATTTAACTATTTCATTTTCCCAAGCGTTGAAAGACTAGTGGTCAACACACAGGCACCGTAATCTCAACGTTCATGGTTCGGTTCCAGTCTGCTCAGTTTTATTATTTTTTTGTCTGCAATATTTTTCAAAAGGCAAATCAATGAAATTCTTTCGTTCTTTTGCCTCAGTGCACGGTGCAGGGGAGCGTTTTCACCTCGAATACCAGAATATAACAGTAAAGGGCGAACACAAAATTATTGTGACACCGAAAATGTCATGCCAATTTTCTTATAATGTTTAGAATCAAACCAAAATTTTAGGGTAGTTTTATACATATATTTACTTCAAAAATCAAAAGAAAAGTTAATCGATGGAGCCTTGAGTGTAAAATTGAACGCATTTTCGCTTGATGCCCTCCATCAAAGTCTTTACAGTGTCATCCGGTACCAGTTTCTCAGTTTTTTTTTTCCATTTTCTTAACATGTCCTTCTCATCTTTGACTGTCTTCTTGCTCTGCCGAAGTTCCCGCTTCATTATTGCCCAGTACTGCTCCACCGGGCGCAGCTCCGGACAGTTTGGCGGATTCATGTCCTTTGGAACAAAATGGACAGAATTGGCCTCATACCACTCCAGGACACTTTTAGAATAGTGGCATGATGCCAAATCTGGCCAAAATAGCGGAGCTTCATCGTGCTGCTGCAAGAACGGCAAAAGGCTCTTCTCGAGGCACTCAGATTTGTAGATCTCGCCATTTACTGTGCCCTTTGTCACGAAAGGCTCACTTCTCAGTCCGCAAGAGCAGATGGCCTGCCAAATGAGATATTTGGAGGCGAACTTCGACATTTTCTTCTTCTTAAATTTGTCGTCCACATCGAACTTGCTCTTGCCGGTGAAAAACTCCAACCCCGGAATTTGCTTCAAATCGGCTTTTATATACGTTTCGTCGGCCATCACACAGCAGCCATATTTTGTCAGCATCTTCTCGTAGAGCTTCCGTGCCCGAGTTTTAGCCGTCGATTGTTGCCGCTCATCGCGGTTTGGGAAGTTCTGTACCTTGTATGTATGTAGTCCAGCTCTCTTCTTTGCATTCTGGACGTAGCTCTGCGACATGCCGATCTTTTTAGCCAAATCACGGCTTGAGACGTTGGGATTTGCTTTAATCATCCGCTTCACCTTTCCCTTCGTCTTTTTGTTCTCCGGTCCCGGTTTTCTTCCAGCTCCTTTGCCGTGGTTCAACGTCAACCGCTCCTGGAACCGCTTCAACACTCTGGAGACGGTTGAATGGTGAATGTTCAACATTTTTCCCAACTGTCGGTGCGACAGGTCAGGAAATTCCAGGTGTTTGGAAAGAATTTGTTCTCTCAACTCGCGTTGGTTCACCTCCATTTTCGTTGAATCGAAAAACACGACTTCGAGTTTGACAGCATGTACACAATACACATCAATGAGAAAGTGTGCAAAATTTGGTTGATTTTTACCCAATGGTAAAAAAGTTATGCCCTGTTGAATGTGTCGCAATAATTTCGTGTTCGCCCTTTATTAATCACAGCCGAGTACGGTAAATTCCCGAGTAACATTTGAAATGGACCTATGTCCAAAACGTAAACAAATCGGGTTTTGATACCATTCTTTACACACTAAGATTTTGTTTCGGTGTTCGGTAAATTTTACCGAAATCAGAACAGCTGAACGTTCGGTAAAATTTTGACCTTCATTTTAAAGGCTATTAAAATCAAAATATGTTCAACCTTGTTTAAATGATCAAATCTTGTCATTTTAGTGGAGATTTAGTTTCAAAGTAGCTGAAAAGCAATTGAATTGAATTGCATAAATTTTACCGAAAAGTTCAGCTGTTCAGACTTCGGTAAAAATTACCGAATTCGGCGATAATTTCTAAGTGTGTAGCACCGCTTGATAGCTACTAATCGTGTACGAAAGTTTCGCATAATCGAGAAAAACCGTTAAAAATAACTCGATTTTCAAAACGGCCGATCAACGTAATTTTTCGATTCATTAATAGGCCCGCACGGTAAAACGGCCAACAATTCATTTATTTCATTTCATTGATTACATTGATTACATGTCCAAGATATACATCCACGATTCCACCCTCCCCAACAGTACTTTAGGGTTGTTCATAAACTACATATACCGTTTTTGATCGCCGGGTAGACAATCATCCACACAATTTTGTATGGACCGCAGACGCCAATGTCTAACGTCTCATACACACTTCTGCTCTAATATCATCATTCACCCGTTTCCATCCACCTGCATCCCAGCCAAGCTCACTGTCACGTCGCTAGTCTAATGTCTCGAAACCGCACTGGTCGTCGTCGTCGTCGCACCGTGACACGGTGACTCACGCCACCTGTGCCTTCCCGACCCGACGACGCTTCGTAAAATTTCCCATTAGATGAGTGTACATTGTGCCTTTTCCACTGAATTTGAGTGTCTCATTTTCACGGAGAAACTAAAAAAAATACTCCACACCTAACTGACGTGTGCCACATGTGCCCGCTCGACTGTGTCCCATTCCCAGGTCGGAGCCAATCTAAATCGATTTCATAAATTCTCAAGTTTACTGTTTAGTGTTTATTTCTCAATGGAATACATGTAGTACCTTACCCACCCTTGCGGGCAAACAGCTGTTGAACCAGACTCCCCGAACAGCATCGGGTGTCGGTCGGTCCGTCAGTCAGCCAATCACCATGGTTACCGTGTAGTATCGTAGTAGCGTATGGCGTACACACCTCCGCCTACTACGCGCTCGCAACTAAGCAATATTGAGAAAAAGACTCTGGAAATCGAAGCAACCCGGGAGAGTAAATATTTAATGTTCAAACTAGAGAGAGAGCGAAAGACGGACGGGGAGAGCTTCGTAAATGTATAATGAAATGCATTAGCAATCAAATAGACGAACGATAAAAGTTCATCTCGTTCCGAAGTCGTTAAAATCAGATTTTGATAGACAACAAAGCGCTGCAGTGCTCGGAATGTAAAGAAGCTGATGCACCGCGAGTGAGCAAACAACTCGTCAAAGTTTGCAGTGAATGATTTTTATGGCCAATATTGACGACTGGCACCACTTGTTTTCTCAATTTGTAGAACTAGGAGGACGAGCAAATTAGCGTCATCATCGTCAACTCCTTACGTTCTTTGTCTCATGGTTCTAACCGATGTTCTCTGATTGTTTTCTCCTACAGTGTGGCATCGAACGCCGAATGGCACTGCTGGCAATGACCGTAATCCGATTGCTCCGAAAGTGGAGCACACGCGACTCGGCAGTAGTGCTATACTGACCTACAATGTGTCACAACATGGCGAGGCCATCACGGTACGAATCGAGCTACGGAGAAGCTTACTGGGCCGGACCTTCGTAGAACGGCAAGGCTATCGAAACGAATCGATAGTGGAATATTTTGACGAGGATTGTTACTATCAAGGGTGGATCGATGGCAGTCCGGACAGTCAGGTGGTACTGTCCACCTGCGATGGGAAGGTTCGCGGAACTATCTACGACCTTGACGATACGTACTACATCGACTACGATGACACCACAGGGGAGCATTATTTGCAAAGGTCCGTTAACGATTATTGTTTTCCATTCAAAACAGACGTTCATCTGATTTTCCATTACAGAATCAACGACCTTCCGGAGGTAAATCGAATTAAACGAAGTCCCCATCCAAGGTTGACCGGTCCGTACAACGCCAATCGTCACTCAAAGTTCGTAGAACTGGTCCTGGTCGTGGACAACTCCCTCTACAGACACTTCGAATCCAACATCTGGACCGTCCAACGTTACTGCACTGACGTCGTGAATCACATCAACATGGTAAGCCACGGTTTTCCTGATCCATACGAGTTAAAGAACCACTTGCTCTTCCAGCTTTTCAACCAGTTGAACATCTTCATCGCCCTTACCGGAGTAGTGGTCTGGGACCAGTACGACCACATTCAAGTTTCGGAACGTGCCGACAACACGCTGAACAGCTTCCTGCAATATCGCAGGAAGGAGCTGCTGCGAAGCCATCCCAACGATCACGCCCAACTGTTGACCAGAATAAACTTCACGGATCACGTGATCGGGAAAGCGAAGCTCGGTGGAATGTGCACCAGCAACAACTCCGGAGCGGTGATTGTCATCCATACGGACAACATCGGAATCCAGGCGGGAACGTTGGCACACGAGATGGGCCACGGCTTCAACATGGAGCACGACGAGGATCAGCAGTGTCAGTGTGAGGACAGTAAGTGCATCATGACGGCGACCGCGACGGGACGATCACTGAAGCACTGGAGTAGCTGTAGTATAGATCAGTTGACGCTGGCGTTCAACAGGGGTCTAAATCATTGCTTGAAGAACCGACCGGAAGCAGTATACTCGACGAGTTGTGGGAATGGGTTTGTGGATGAAGGTGAAGAGTGCGACTGTGGACTGGAGGAAGTCTGTGATAACCAATGCTGTGATCCGAAGCTATGTCGGTTAAAAGAAGGAGCTGTGTGCGCTACGGGAGAGTGCTGCAATCTGGAAACTTGTCAGTTGAAGGAGGCCGCTAGCATTTGTAGAAAGACCCACGGGGAGTGCGACCTGCCGGAGTATTGTACGGGACAATCTGAACATTGCCCAATAGATGTTCATATGAGGGATACGGAACTTTGCGCAGGTGGTCAAGCGTACTGCAATGACGGAGACTGCCAAACCCGAACCGATCAGTGTCGATTGCTGTGGGGTCCTTCGGGGAAAGTCTCCGATGATAACTGCTACACAAGAAACGTTAACGGCACAAAGTATGCCAATTGCGGCTACGATAGAGATACTCACAGTTGGAGGAAATGCGCCGAGCAGGACGTACTGTGCGGTCTGCTTTTCTGTCAACAGTTGAACGAAAATAAGCTGGAGTTTGGATTGAGAGTATTCTCGGGGGAACATATCGCTAGCGCCCTCAAGGGCCGTGAAGTCATCCAATGCCACGCCGCATTCATAGATCTAGGTAACGCCAAGCAACCAACCCTAGTTCCAGATGGAGCCCCTTGCGGTCTCAACAAGATGTGCTACCAACAGCAATGTTGGGATATAGAAAGTCTCAACTCGTACGGAATAGGACAGCCTTGCTCGCACAACTGCAACGGCCACGGCGTCTGCAATAGCAAAGGAAACTGCCACTGTGACCCTGGCTACGCTCCACCGTTTTGCGAATTCCCCGGATACGGTGGCTCTGTAGACAGCGGTCCAGCCTCCAAATCCTTCAACCCTCCTCTGATCGTAACATTGGCCATAGTATCAATCGTTATAATAATGATGTTCATCACCTACATAGTCCGCACCTTCTGCCAACCGGATCGATGCCGGACTCCACTCAAAATCAACACCTTCCCGTCGCCCTCGCGCAGCAAACACAAACTCATTCCAACCACATCATCCAATTCGACAGTAGCGCGTGAGATCTCCGCTCCAAAACTGTGCTCTTCCACCCGGGACGTAGACGGACCGCAGTTTACCCCCATTGCAAGACTGAAACACAATCAAGACGATCGAGCGAGTAAAAGCAGTATGGTTTCAGTGCGCTCGATGGCTCAACCCTCAGTAGGCTATGTGACACACGTGACTCCTTTGCCACCGCCGGCGAGTCCACGGCGGTTACCGAGGCAACCGTCGTATGTGCATCGGCACGGTGCCGGATCCACTCGCCGGTACTCGTGAATCACTCAATCATTTTTACTCAATCCGAAATATTGCTAGCCCGTGTAGAATCTAAGTGTAGTGACATTTTGGCTTTTTGATACTAGCGTTATTTTTGTACTAGGTGTAACTGTAAGGTAATAAAATAAAGTTCTAGTCATCAATTTGAAACGTGAGAGAAGAGTGACGCAACGGGTTTGATGGGTGTTTATTGGGGTGACAATTCCTTCACATGTGACGAGACAAAATTTGAACATCATTGTGTTGCAACGGGTTGGAGATATGCTTACTGCATAACGCTTGAAATGTTTTCACAGTCGTTGAAACCAACTCAAATTTGAGCTTCATTTACTTAAATTTGCCAAAACAGGGGTCATGGCTAATTATTTTCTAAAGTTGGCTTCGTGGTCGTGCGATTAGTTGCGTCACCCTTCGTTCCAAACCTATCCCTACACAGAAACAAAATCCATTGGCAAAAATACTATATTGATGGTTTAAATTAAATACTCCCACCAATAGATTTGTGCAGAAACGAAATTCATTTAATTTTACTATTTTTTCTATCAAAACTACTATGCCTTTTGAGTAAGCATAGTAGTTTTGACAGAATGGTAGTAAATTTGATTATATTTTTAGTGAACTATACTGAAATCATGGTAGATTTAACGGCATTAAGCATAGTTATACTGAAAATAAGTAAAACAGCAAAAGGGTTTATCTTCCATTTAATTCCACTTAATTAATTTTTGTATCCATGACAGATACGTATTTCGACTACAATGTGCAGTCTTCATCAGTGTCATTCCCACTAAAGAACTTATCAAAATCTAACCCCCTTAAGTACTCATCCCCTAGGTAAAAAAGTCAAGATCATAGGTATAAAAATGAAACTACAATGTGTTGAATCGGAACCTACCTAACTAATAAAAACCAAAGATTTAAGTAAGCTAAAGGAGAAAAATCTATACAAATCTCTAATAAGGAAAATCCCCAAAGGCTTGGTAGCCATCATAATGAAGTAATGAAATTGGGTTGTTAGCGGAATGCTAAATAAAACAGCAAAAGGGTTTATCTTCCATTTAATTCCACTTAATTAATTTTTGTATCCATGACAGATACGTATTTCGACTACAATGTGCATTGTACTACATTGTAGTCGAAATACGTATCTGTCATGGATACAAAAATTAATTAAGTGGAATTAAATGGAAGATAAACCCTTTTGCTGTTTTATTTAGCATTCCGCTAACAACCCAATTTCATTACTTCATGAAAATAAGTGTTTTCTGCAAAATAGTATTCCCAACTATGGTCTTTGCTTCAGTGTAATAAACAGAACCATAAAAGAACGAAAACACAAATGATAGAACTATTCCACAAGTGGTTTGGATATTCCAAAAACGTCGTTAAACACTTTTTTGTGTTTAGTTATATTAGGGATCCTAGAGGCTATCCCATTCAGTGAAAGGTTGAAAGGATCGTTAATCGCTAATGACCCTATGACTGCTCCAGATATGTAATGATTCATCTTTGTCGACAACGGATTGACATTTTGAAGAATCAATAAAAATAACAGTTTCGATTAAATCGTTATTTAATGGAAAATGCAAAAGTTCTCACATATTCTCAAAAAATCAGAATGCAAGTTTGACATGGTTGTGCTTGGTTGATAAATCTTTGTCTACGACATGGTTTAAATGTTTTGGAATGGCAAAAACTCAATAATTTAATAATTAGTGTGTGATGCCCACTACGTATTTAACGAAATCTTCAACAATTCATCATTATTTATTGAATAGGGGAAATGGATGTAATGTCGGCCTAAATGCCCCTAATTTGGGCCCATACATACATTCAGCAATCGACTAAATTTTCAATAGCGACAAAAAATATCCATTAGTACCGTCCCAATGACGCGTTCATCAAGATAAAATTGATAAATAGCAGGTTTTTAGCGATGGGGCCAATCTTAGATCCATAGGCCAACATTAGACCCATTTCTCGTATATTGTATTTTTATAGTGTGTTAAATACGGAACATAGGGAAATTAGTGAGTCATTAGGCCGTTCGAAATGCTGTTGTATTTTAAATGAACTGATTTAATATGAAACTAGTACAGAAACACATCCCTCGCAATGTTGAGTTGCAGTTTCATTATTCGAGCACTATTTTGCACCAGATTTGCCACTGCTCGGCTATTCGGTTTTTTTTTCTAGGTGGGTGGATGGAGCAATGTTTCAAATTTTTTTGGATGTATTTATTAATATTTCTCGTAAATGTTCAGAGAGCTTCATAGAAGTTCATCAGCTTTAATAGTAATTTGGGAATTTTACACAAACTTTGGGATCTTCTGAAAAGTTTTAAGAATATTTTATATATGTTCTGAGAACTTCATTTATATAACGAAGAGCTTCACACAAAAAAAAACGGAGAACTTCATAGAGAAAAGTAAACTGTATGGAAATTGTATTTTTTTAAAGTTTCAGGGAGTATCAATGAAGTTTAGGTAATTTCAAAGAAGTGAGAGGTTTTTCATAATGGATCGGGGAGCATCGTAGTAGCTCTGAGAATTCCATAGTATATTACAGAACTTCATGGAAATCCATGGATCTTCACAGAATTTCATGAAAGCGCTCGCGTCTTTTACACCAAGAAGATATTCTCTCATCATCATGTCCAGTGAAGTCCTGTAGATATTTTTTCAATGCTTCAGGTAGATCAGGTATCCTTCTAAATATATCCAATTATCCAACAATCTTAATCACATATTATACCAGGCAGCTCAGAAATTATTCCATGTGTTTTAAGATGATCAGGTACTATTGTGATGAAGATCTCAAACTAGCCAACATCCAACAGTCACCTAGTATCATGAGCACCATTCTCTCATGATACTAGGTGACTCAGAAAATATTCCAAAGGCCTTTAGGTGATCAAAGATCTACAAAAACTTCTCAGGATTTTCTCATGTATTCGAGATGATTTAGTGTAATTCTGAAGATCTTCAACTGCCCAAAATCTTATACACTTTTGGGCATGCTGACACCGGTAAAACTGACACAGGTGTGATCTTTCAAAAGAAAAGTTGTTGTACTGTCAAAATATCCTCTGTATGTTTTCTTTCCTCCGACAGTTTCGCGCCAAAATTAACTTTGTATGACATATCTGTATTTGATTTGCTCCAAGCGGTACTATCATTGGATTAGAATCCGTTCAAGCTTGTCTTAATATATGATATCGGATGATGGAGTGATACTACCCGACTCTGTTCAAACATTTGACAGAGCTCTTAAGCAGGGGCAGTTAATAAGATTATAGTTAAATCAAGTGATAAATGGAATCTGTACTTCATCCGAGTGTGCAGAAGTTGTCATTGCCTCTCGTGAAATGGTGAAATATACCCAGCTTTTCCGTTATATACGAACGCCCAACGTTGCCAAGGGACCACGAGCCTATAATGTACCCGATTTCAACCATTACAGTAAGTGTTAAGACCTCCAAATCTAAATGAAAGTAAACACCACAGCACCAACCATACAAATATGCTTTCTGCTTCTAGGTCTGCACCGTGAGGATGACGATGCGAAGATGAGGAAACCCAAAGGATGAGCTCATTTTTCACATCACCCGGGAATGCTAATGAACATACCGTTTCCATAGTTTATTCCTAGTTAATGTCAAGGTAGGTTTCTGAACATTTTGATAGTACTAAAATACTAAATTCACTTTAATTATTCTTTTCCAGGTACGACGAATATAAGCATATTCAAAAAAATAATATCATAGCACTCCTGATGAATGTGGGCGTCTTAGTGGAATACCTGTATAATGAGAGAGAGAAGGATTATTATTTTCCATTTAATTCCACTACTTTATTTGCTTATCCTTGACAGATACGCGTATTTCGTCTACAATGTGCAGACTTCTTCAGTGTCTTGTACTAATACTCGACTGTATTAGTACAAGACACTGAAGAAGTCTGCACATTGTAGACGAAATACGCGTATCTGTCAAGGATAAGCAAGTAAAGTAGTGGAATTAAATGGAAAATACTAATCCTTCTCTCTCTCATTATATCATAGCACTGGCACTACGTATACGCTTGGAATATTCTATTTTGAAGGCGCAGATTGCTCCCCTTTGTACAACGCCCGGGCATCGTCATGTCGACCACCTACTAGGATTTCCATAATGCACAGGTTCTCTCTGTGGGAGTACTTTCTTGCTGTTCTGTTCCGACCAAAAAGGGTTTTTCGGGATGACGACCGTCTTCGGTGCTTCCTCCTTCGTTTTTTGCTAACTAACCATGTCAAGAAAGTCAACCGTGCCGCTGCCGAGAACGACAGAAACTGCTCAACTCAAATGTCGTGGGTGACGGATGTTAATTGGCCGGAGAGGAAACCCATTCCATTTCCAGAGATAATCCCCCGACGTTGACTCTCTGACTCTTACTGACAGACAGCTCTGGAGTAGCATAGCTACGATATAAAATGTAAAATAACAACTATTGATGTTAATAAACATGTTTATGGAACTTTCAATCTGTTGTTAAAAACTTTCAAGAAATATTTAAAGGCATATAAAATCGAGTATAAAATAAAAATGGAAGCTTTAATATTAAACATACTTGTTTTTGAATTAAAATCGTTCAAGTATCACCTCGACAGTCCTACATTTTTAGTTTGACATTTCTACAATTCGGTTTAAAAGTTCCGACTTTTAAAAATATGAATAAGTGACGTTTTTGATTTAAGAACGTGGAAGCTTTTACTTTAAAATGTTTCCGCTTTCTACCAAAAAGAACCAATGCCAACTTTTAATTGCACCAACGACTTTTTTAATTTTGCACAGATTTCCTGTAATTTTTCACCGAATATCTGTGAAAAATTACAGGAAATCTGTGAAAAATCACCGAACTGTTTACCGAACGTTCAGCTGTTGAGATTTCGGTAAAATTTCACAGATTTCGGTAAAATAATCTTAGTGTGCACAATCTAACTTCTTTCTCTGACGTTTTGGAGACTTGATGTTTTCGGCAAAGTTGTTTATCTTGACAAAATAAACAACTCTTTTGCAAGGGGGAGGTGGCTGTCAAATACGAACAATCGTTGCCTACCTCGCATAACTGGTTCCAAACGTAAACAAGCCATAAGAAACCTACAGCGTTTGTTTACGTT